TAGAGTGAAATTTAAATGACCAGTTAAACATATAAGCTTTTAAATATTTTTTTCATTTCAAATGGGGAATATAAGTTTGCATAAGACAACAAACATTAAACAGCATGTTCAGTATTAATTTTATAGTAGTACTTCTATGAAATGCACACATACTGTATACAGTACTATTTCTCCCTTGGTTAAAGTATATACCAATGAATGGGCACTATATAAAGGTGATTTGTTGAAATTTTACAATTTGTTACCAGTTTCAAGCTGTTTGATTTTTGTTGAGCCCTGTTTCCAATTGGATTCCCAGTTTAAAGCCAGTTTAGAGCTAAAAAACAGTCCTGGAAAAATTAAATATAGTATACTCTCCAATGGTTTTAGATTTTGTCTTGAGTCTTTTGATTTATACTGTATGTTTATTTTCTGTTTTTAAATGTCAGGCCTGTAAATCATTTTCTTCTTCTGAGTGACAAAAAGTTTGTTAAAAAAACAGTTTTATAATTTGGGCAAATTAATTAATATTTCCCTGATACATCTATAATAAATATGTTACGTTTATGGCTTCTCCGTTATATACTGTAGAATCATAGTGTGTTTTAGAGAAATGTGATGTTTAGAGAGAAAAGAGTTTAATTGTAGCTTCTTTTATATACCAAGTCACATTTTAACAGTGCTAAAAAGTCCTCCACCAAGATCATTTCTACCACGGAAATCCAGAGAAAGATTTTGGACAGTGATGGTCATGTTTAAAGTAATATTAAATGAAGTATTATTGGGACTTAAATTCTTAAAAGGAACAAACACTTTGTCGCTCAGTACTGGTCACTTGTGTCAGACTACAACAGTATATGGTTGTAAGACCCTACTGCATGTGAACCTCTTCAAAATCTGTAAGTTGTTTTCTGTTTTAGTTACCTGGCCTTCTCAGAAGAAAGTACAGGAGTTAGATATAATTAATAACAACTGCCTGTTCCAAACTTGGCAACCTGTCTTAAATGAGGTGAGATATTACAGAATCTGAAGGAAATAAAAGTGGGTTACAGTTTTTGAATGTTGTTTTTTCTCAGTTCTGCTTCGATGGAACCTAACGAACTTAATGGCATGATACTGTGAAGATTTAAGTCCCAGACATTAGAGACTGTTTACAATCTCAATGACCTTATACTATTTCTATTATCTTTGTCCCGACTTAGGTTACAGTTAGCTTGATACCAATTTTGAGGTCTTTGGTTGTGCTAGACAAAAATTTAATTTTTGTCAAAGCTAGGACTGTAAGCATGCATGCATTCACTAAGCAGAGCACTATGTAACATAAACACCATGTTAGCCTGTTAGATTATCTCAATTTTCCTACCACCATGAGGAGATGTCTCTCTAGATGTGTCCTTCAGAGGAGAAAGATAAAAGGCCTGTAGAATTGACTTATAATAATAATTAAAAATCGAATAAATTTGGCTTTTATGTTTTAAACACTCCTTCAATTTTGCTTTAATTTACCCTCATCCATGTAATCATTTTACATTATACAATACATTGCTGATAATACCATCACTCCAAGACCTTTGTCTACAATCTTTTGTAAAGCACACATGCAATTTTTTATTTTTACAGCCATCTGAAAAACCACGGTACACCACTTTTCCTAACACGCCCCAGCGTGACAGAAAGTGAATTTTCCGATTTTTCGAGTGAACTGTGAAAGTGTCCAGTTTGGGCTAGAATCCAAATTTGGTGTCTTTTACTCATAAGGAGTCAACGTGATCACAAACAGGGCTATGAAACTCTGCCTTTCTGGGTCTCATTGGTTTTCTTATTACTCTGGGAATGATAAATTGAGGGATATAGTTAAATATCTAAATACCTACGTAGTTCTTTCCTGCAAAGTAAAGTTGTTCTAATATTTTTTTTTGCAGTTTAATTGTATGTATTACTCATGCATATTCCCTTTCATAAATTTTGTATGTATGTTTGCTAGGATTGTGTTCCAAAGTGTAATGGTTTATTCCCTAGCCAGAACTCACAGAAAGCACTTTGCCTTCAAAGCTTTGTTAGCCTTTTTGTTTTCATGCAGTTCTAAGGCATACGTACAGGCAATATCTCCCAACAGAA